CCCCCACCCCCCATCTCATGGGGCACGTGGAGAAAAAATAGGCAAGCTAAAGGTGAGGACAGCAAAAATAAATATAGAAAAAGAATATAGAAGAACTCGTCGATGTATCCAGGCTAAACAATAAGAAAGACAGAACTTATTCACTGTCTACAAAATTATAAAGAGCAATGAAAATAATTTTTTTTTCAGAGTATTCATTTTAAAACCCTACCATGATACAAGCTCAGCTCCAAGCCTATTTGGGAGTTCATTTTCATGTATCATTATAACTTAATAAATACGTCAGCTAAAAAAAACAAAACAAAAAAAACAACAAATGACTTTTTTCCCTTTTTTTTCGGGGGGGGGGACAATCTCTTCTTAAAACCAAGACTCAGAAGTAGGATTTTCTTAACACTTCAAGACATAAAAGCATTTTGAATATCTTCGACGATAGACTCTGCGTTTAGTCATAATAATAATAATAGTTTCAGTTTTAGTGAAGGTTTTACAGCGCTCGCAACTGCACAAAAGGTCGTATGAGCGCGCAGAACAAATCAAACATTTTCAATTAGTAGGACATTTTGAAGTTTGCCCGGGTGGCGGTCGAAATCTTTTCGATATTGAACCACCACGGGATCTTTAACGTGTACAACTTGCACACGGGCCCTCCGAGATTTTTCGTCCTTGTCCGAGACCAAAGCCTTATGTTTAAATAGAAACCTTTTTTTTCGTATTTATTAACAGCTTCTAGCTCCAAAATTAAACCTAACCATTCAGCAAAAAAGATTCAAGCTTTTACAGAGTCGTCCATGCGACTATATCCGGCTGTTCCCTGTATTGATAGCGACTGACAGACAATGTTAGCTGCATAGGGGTTCTGCTAATGGAGTTTTTGTCTGCGCTAATAGTACATCTATAAAAATTAAAACAAACCCCAAAACAACCACATTACCTAAAAGGAACTGATTACAAAAACACATCATTTCCGCTTATACACGTAACTAACAGAATCTCGGATAATTAAAAACTAATAAAAAAATCAGGATGGAGATGTATACACTTTAAATCAAGATTTCTCAAAATCACAAAAATATGACCTTGGCGCTGTGTGCTTTTAAATATCTATATATAGATATACATATATGCATACATATGATATATATATATA